AAAAGTTTGTTAAATTTTAAATTGCGTTACGTCAGTTTATAAGTGTTTATGCTTTATTGTGACATGGACTAGTAATATCATATTATCATTATTTATGTTTCATATGTATGAAAGATATATTTTATATTAAGCCATTAAATAATTTATCATGTTGTATTATTATTGTAGTCTTACATAAATAACAACCAGATTTTAGTTGAATTATGTTATTTTAAATTACTAATCATATTTTAGCATAATGTCAACTTACTGTCAAGTTAATACTATTATATACATTACCATACACATTTTTGAAATGTTTGTAGTTTCATTTTCCATAGTTTTTTATTTTTCATTTTAAATTAAAATATCTAATGAGATTCATAATTTTTAAAAAAGAAGTAAATTTACAATTTTATTTTCAAATTATAAAAAGTTGAGTAATATTGTAAATACCTAAGAATAATTATAGGCTATAATACTATATTGACATATTGTATGCATTTTTTAAATTCTAACTGTACAATTTTTAGTATAGTGTGAACTACTTATCAAACGTCATATTATTATTATAATTATTATTTTTTTTATTTTTATTTTGTTAAATCAATACGATAAAAAATAAATAATTACAAAACATTTTATGATTTGAGAATGTTAATGATAAAACTAAAATTAAAATTGTTGAAAAATAGTTTAAAACTTTTAAAGAAAATACCCCTTTTTACATAGTTTCCAAATTAAATGTTTTTAGTAAAATTATTGTCGACATTCAGTAAAACAAACTTAAGTTAGTAAGACAAAAGGTCAATTTGCATAGACGTTTTAGTAGGTAACCAAATATATTCTCAAATATTATTCTGATTTAATTCCCTTAAACATTTATTAAAATTTAATTTAATTTAGGAAAATAAATTAATCTAATTTATTATTAAAATTAATAAATTTAAATGTCAAATAAAAAGTATTTTTATTTTAAAACCCAATTAATATCCAAGATCTACCTAGTAGATAAAATTGCTTTTCTATTTTAAGAATCAGTCTAGTTTATTACTTTTAGAGTTTTAGACTAATATTAATATTATGGTAGCTTTTAGTATAATAAATATTAAATATACTATAGAAAAACTGTATGCAACAATAGAATTTTATAATGGAAAATCGAATTTCATCTGTCTATTGTTATTTTTTTTATTCTTGTCATAAATCTCTTTTTAATTTTGTGTAATATAAAAATAATATAGTTAAAAATGTTTTATTTATTATTTTTATGTTTTTCTTTTCAATGATTATTTAGTATAATATAATTTATAATATGAAATTAATTTCGAAAATTTAATTTTGTGAATTTTATCACACATGCTCTTTTAGTTATACACTATTAAATTCATATATTTAGAATTTAAATCATTTATGCAAAGATATCATCTAACTATATTACAACAAATTAACATACCTACTCAATACATACATTCATTATTTATTCTGTAATCTTATTTTAAATAATTATTAATACATTCATCGTAAAATGTTATCTATTAACTAATAAATTTTATTTTAAAATAAGTATCTCCTTAATATTTTTAGCATATAATTATTATCAGTACAAACATTGGGTTTGTCTAAGTATAAATCTCAATTGGAAAAAATGTTAAAAAGTGATTTGTTATTCTGATAGTTTATCAGAATTGAATATTCTTAAGCTAAACACAAAATAATTATTTTTATAAAAGTTAAATTCAATAAAAGTACAATATGTATGTATAAATATAGATTGACTTATCAAGCACACCATCTCTCTTTTTCTTTAGCAAAATTATGCAATCGGTCAATTTTGGAGTTTTTAACCAAAGTTAAAGACCGTATTTACAAATTATTTAAACTATTGTTTGTACTACTTCAAAAGTTTACTGTGGAAATATAAACTTTGTATAATTTTTAAAAATTATTGTGTAAATATCTTTTTTTTTTTTATATATATTTATGATTTTTGTGAAAATTTCTAGGAATTTTTACTTCCCATAGTACAAAAAATCATCTTCAATTTTAAAAATTAAAGCATTTTTATTACAATAATAGGGGAAAAAATCAATTTATTTTACTTACAATTTATAATATTGTTAAAAATAAAATCAAATATCATTCCATTAGTATAAAGTATAGTTATAACGATCTTAAATTAATATTTGAATTACAATGACATAATGCTCAGTTGTATTGATTTAAACAGTTGCACACTACCTACACGGTTTCACGCTACAATCATTTATTTGAAACGTTATTATTTTCGTAGTAATAAGTATGTCGCCGGTGTTTGGACGTATGGTAATTTTAACGAGCAACCAAAGCAAAGCGAAGCATACTGAAAATAATTTTACGAGTAATCTAATATTCAGACGAGACGATTTGACGTTCTCGGGTTGACCGTCATGGCCCTAGGGACACATAGCGTTTTAGGGTTGGTAGGTATCTCTTTTATCATTTGATTCTCAAGCTCTAACAAATTCTAATTCGATTAAAGGCATAGGTTTTGATGGCGTTTTAACGAAAACGAGAAAACTTTAAACAAATAATAGTTGAACATGATAAATACGACAAAAGCAGTTATTAATATGGCATAATGTTATAATGCTTTTTCGTAATATGCACGTATGTAAATATTTTATTATTTTGATTCAAAATGTGAATATACGATATTAAGTACCCGTGATCTTTAAAAAAAAAAAAAAAAAAAAAATGTATATATTTATGTATACTTGCGGTATACGTATTGATTATTAATTGATAAAATAACGTACGGCTAGCAGTTCGTTTGATCGTTTGAACAATTAAAATTGATACCGCTGTGCTAAAGTAGATAAAGTAGATGCCAAATTTCAACGTGTAAATAAGGTTGCTGTACACCATAGTGTCGCACAACGATATAAGTACCTGATAATATCGTATAATATGCGCCCATTTGCAGCATTACACGTTAAACGCCAGAAGAAAAATATAAAATCGATGAGGTCGATGGGGGGGAGAAAAATAAATAAATAGAAACTATGAGCATAAATATTTATTACGTGACCGGTGTACGCGGTCGGGTGCAATAAAACAACCACACGCGGCGGTGTGTAATTTTCGAGTGTATACGGTATATTCGTGTACATAATAATAATATAAAGCCGCGGACGGACGTGAAAATCCCCACAGAAAATGAACATGGTTTAACGAAGAATCGCATAAATCAAACGTCCTTTATACGTTTGTGCCCGGTATATCGTGTACATGTATAATGTGTATGTATATAGTACACGCGTATACCGTATACCTGTGTATATAGGAAGTATATAAAATAACATTTGCGGCTGGTTTACGTGAACTATCGCTGTCGTCTACCGCCACTGACGTACCGGCGAAAACGACAACACACCGACAACGTTATTGTTAATATATTCATATACATTATATTGTATTATACAACAGTCGAGTCGGTCGGATTGCGTCACGCGGGTTTGGTATATTGGAGCATCTGCCACGACAGATATGCGTAGGTTCTGCGCGCGTCGGATATACGTGATTCTTGCGACCCCCGCATAGTCATCGTTTTTCCGGAAAAGGGTATCCTCTAAACCATATTATTGTTTACCCCATTCGCATCAAACAAAACCCTCGACGACGTTTTTATTGGTTTTCGGAACGGACCACAGGGTAACTCGAACATTATAATATTTACTCGCATTATTGGATATACATATAAATATATTCTGTGCGCCGTGTGGTTAAAGCGAGTCTCGCCTACGTTTTTCTTGCACAATACGTGTTTATAGTTTATTATAGTGTTACACAAATTTCTTGATATTAAATTACATATTGCGAGTATAGAACAGTAATAATTTAACAAAGCACCTAAAAAATGTAGTAGATAAACAGCAACTTAAATTAACTTTGACGAAGTCATATATTTTCACGTCACATTTTATGGATAAATTGTCAATATTAATCAGGTACTACCTGTGAATAGGTGTGAAATAGGTGTCATTTTCAATCAAAATGTGTGATTTTGACAAATTATGTCATCATTTGAAATCCCAACTTTTATAAACAAAAATTATACCTATGATATATTTATGATATTTATAAATAACGATGAGAATAACTTATGTGGAATATTGTTAAGCTTTTTTTCAAATCTAAAAATTTTTATCAACACCTTTAAAAAAAAATTAAAAAAAAAAAAATTTATTTATAAATAGCATAATATTAGTTTAAGTATTTTAAAAATTCCATTTTTGTATGGAACATTATAATTTTTTTTTTTTTACCAGAAACAATTTCAAATATAAATTAAAGCACTTTAATTATTCTTAAATATTAGACCACTCATATAAAAAATAAATTTCATTGTAAAGCTAATTTAGTGAAATAGATATATGATGAATTTGTGCCTTTAAATAGCGGATACTTCTAAAATGGCATATTTTATTTTATTTTTTTTTTTTTTTTTTCAGAAACAAACTATAAAATTTCTAAATACTCAGTCTTCTGATTTTAAAATATTGCTAATGTTCAGTATATAACGTCCCGTTCATAATAAAAAATAAAATAAATATTTTATTTTATAATAAAATAAATATTTTATTTTATAATAAAATAAATATTTTATTTTTGCACTTGTTTTACTAATATACTAGTATGTATTTTGATTCAAAATTTAAGTTCAATAATGAATTGAAAAAACACAATGATAATGGTAATTAAATTTTTTAAGTTTCAGAATATGATACTGAAGTTGTTGTAAAAGGTAAAAATTAAATATTATTTTAAAAATGCTTATTTTTGATTTACAAACCTTATCTAGTACCTAGCTACTTGTATGAATATTAAACAATAACTTATTTTGTTAGATATTGTATATTATCAACGATGACAAATTTTATTACAACTTTGATTAAAATATTAAAAAAATATATTTTAATATACAATACAAAAAAAAAAAAAAAAAACAATTACAAAATATAAACATTTTAATCATGATAATTAAGTAAACGTAATATTCATTAAACTATATAAATAATATGTTTCATTCAAACCACGCGTACCAGTTGCGTCTTATTTCGCTGACACCGTCAAAGCCATTGCCGACTATTAGTGGTTCAATATAACGCACAGGACACAAATTATCCTGTTATTATTTTACAAATAATTAAATTCGTTAGATTTTCAGTGCCTTAGTAATTTCGCGTCCACCACGAACGGTTGAAAAAGAAATTCGTGTTACGATATTACAGTGGTTGATCGATGACATTCGACCGCCACTCTTCATCACAGCCATTGCTCTTAAATTAATGTTTGTACTTGCCACGGGCGAACTATTATAATAATTATAGCTTGTTCGCCTACACTCGCGTCTAGTCAAACCGACCACAATGTCCATCACCATCGCCGCCGTCAGTATCGTTTTGTCGACAACCGGACGTATTTCCGACCGCTATAGATGACTGGTGACATGATTTCGGACAGTTACAGCACGATGTACCTGACTTGATCGATGACGAGGGTCCATCTTCTTTCTTGTGCTTAACCCGTCTATTTTGGAACCAAATTTTCACTTGTTTTTCAGACAACCGTAGACAGTTGGCAATTTCTATGCGCCTTAATCGTGACAAATACATATTGCTGGAGAATTCTCGTTCCAATTCCAATAGTTGGTTACTGGTGAATGCTGTCCGAATCCTTTTCGAACTTCCGGAATCTGTGTCGCTCTCACCATTTTCTCGTAGCGAGTCTTCAGTCGCAACACATTCTAAACGAAAAAAAAAACAGAAATATGAGATTCGATTTTTTTTCATAAAGTCTTTGTTTCATTAAGCGATGGACCCAAATTAATGTAAACAATAATAATATTATATGATGGTATATAAAAAATATAAAAGGATCGTTTTGAACTATGTATATATAATTTAATTAATTTAATTTAGTTATTAATCAAGTGTATTGATATTAATATTAGGCATTGGGAAAGTAATGATTTCGTGTACAGAATTTAAAAAAAAAATACAATAATAATAATAATAATGTACGTGGAAACATTATACAAGTATTAAAATTTATTCTAAATTCTGTTTGGAATTAAATAAAGAAAAATAAATGTATAATATGATTTTAGTAAAGAAGTTTGGAGAAAAGGAATTGTTTGTTACTGTATAAAATCCTCTTTTATAAACATATTATATTATACTATTATTAGATTGATTGAAAGGAATTTACTTTTTTAATTACCAATCATTAGCAAGTAATAATTGATAAAGTACCCAAAGTAAATCTCTTAAGTAAAGTCGATCAAATTAGTTCTTCTTTACAAACAGTTTTAATAATGTTATTCAAAAATAATATTGTTGAAATTGTATTTAAAATTTAAACAATGCTTAAAATATTTTCAAGCCTACGATAACAATTAAAGGTGTGTTATATATTTACCTACGGCTAAAAAACTAATAACTAAAAACACATATATGACGAATTTGATTGTCAAATAGTTTTTAAAATTTTAAATTGACATCGAAATAAATTAAATTATACATATCTCATTTAAAAATATAATAAAAGTATTATATCTGATGTATTATAAGTTCATAAAGACATTTTTTATTTTAAATTTCTTTATCAGAACTTTTAATAAAATATTATTTCTGTAATAGTAACTGATAAATGAATTAAAAAAAAACTTTATCTTCTCGGCTTTAGTAAATACGTGTTTATTCTATATTAACACTTACCTGAGTCATAAGCCATCATTTCGTCCATGGTTCTCTTTTTCGTCGTTGTTTTTGCATGATGTGATTTATTCTTCTGGCCTGTGCTGGTGGCTACAACGGGAACGGGTTTTACAACTGTTGGCGATAGCTGCTTTTGGTGGTGATGATGTTGCTGTTGGTGGTCTTTGCCAAACGCACCACCGCCACCTCCACTGCTACTGCCACCAACCGGATATCCGAAAAACCGCGGATTTGTAGCCGACGGGAATACAACAGGTGTTGGAGATTGGTATCCGTAGACGGCGGCCGCTGCTGCAGTCCTATTCAAGAACTGAATGTACTCGTTGAGTTGTGGGTGATAAGATCCGGAAGCTGCGGATACGGACGCTGCGGCGGCGGCAGCAGCAACAGCGGCACTAGTGGGGGGACGTTTGACGCTTCCTATGAGAGTGTCGATTAGAAAAGACCTAGACATGGTCTTCTTGGTTGACGTCATTGTCACGGGCCAACGCGGACCGTCCATTGCAGCGGCGGTGGAAATGAGGAAATGACTTGAAATCGATTGTTACCCGATCACACGCACGTGACGCAACGTTGAGATTTTTATAGACGAAGAAGCGACGGATAATAAATATTTAAGAGCGGTTGCGATAATACGATCTATATAACAAATACGTGATAAACGTATACGAGTTTGCGAGTGAACACGACGACGTCCAGCGTTGAGGTCTTTGACAGCGGGGTTGTGTGGTGACTGACTGTCTGCCGGAGATCTACGTCGCACCAACCCCACCGACCAGCCTCGAGGGTCGTCCCCACCATCAAACCATGATCCGTCTATCAGGCACCGCCTACCGATTTCTTGTACGGCACGACCCTTATTTTTCAGCTCTCGAGAGGGTGCCTGGAGTGTAGTGTGTCTGTGTGTGCGTATGTGTCGCCTCTGCCGTTGTATACAATGGTGTGTTTATTGACTGTTTTTAAAAACCCATCCCGCTAATTGTCCGTCTGTATACAATTATATTATATATCTGTCCAACGACCGAAAATCAATCCACTCGACCAACCCCCACTCTCTGTGAGTTTCCTCGTAAACAAATATCCACACCAGCTCCCCCGTACTATTAATCATGCCTCGATAACTTCCGCCGCAACCGAATCGTGTTCTTTTACAGACCAGCTTATATTTGTAATCCACGATGCGCCAGACGCGGAAATGTCATCCATCGCCGCTGTCGACCACTTGTGATGAACGACAACACATTTGAATGAATTCTGCATGTGAATACGAGCACGAAAATGTATACTTATAATACGACATTTGTAAACACATAGTACTTATGGACATTACGCGTTTGTCGTAAAAATATAAAATCCTTCGTAAGTTTATATAATATGTATATATATATATACACGTGTTTCTTGCATTACTTTATATGATTAATCATAGACGACGAGATGAACGCTTTTGTACGCATTAAGTCGTATTTTTAGCTTAGTCATACTATACGTAAACGAATACACGATAATATTTTACACTGTGTTTTCCCGTGTTTTACCTGCGGTATGGGAAAAATAATTCAAATACAGTATTCTACCCACTGTTTGTGAGTCGTGTTGTTATTTATATTTAAACGTCGTTATTTGTATACTGTACAGACTATAAGTGATTACATTAATTATTTTTCAAATATTTATTTTTTTACTTAATTTAATAATATTCGGGAAAGGGAAAATATTTTAACATTTTGTATCGTTATCAGTATTCAAGATTTTATCTTTTTAAATTACAACGTACATTTTTAATTTCATATTTCAAAAAACATATTTTTGAGAATTTTGAATGAGCAGTGATTAATTATAACTTTATAATTATAGTAAGTTTATATTATCATCATATGAACTGCAAAGAGTGATATAAAAAAAGAATGCTAAAGATATAAAATTGTAAAGATATTATTAATTTTTTTTTTTTTTTTAATGACATTAAATCATGAAAAATAATATTTTCGGAAGATTTTAGAGTTTTTGAAATAATATTAGTGTAGACACTTAAATGAATAACCTCGTGTATAATATATACCATATATTCATCTATATATGATGTGCTTAATAAACTCATTATATTTAGTGTCAACACTTAACACCTTTTTGAGATTATTAAATTTAGTGCTGCGAATGTCCCATAAATAATAATGCAATTTAATAGACTAAATATTAAAATAAAAATACAAGGAAAAATCAAAATTTTACTATGCACGACATCGGCGACAGCGCTCATATAATGGTATTATTCAACTATTTCAGTGCTTAACTGACGTTTCATTAATTTTAGCTGAAAATCTTAGAATTTTAAAATGAATAAAAACTATAGTACTATTATTTCATTTTCAGTATACAAAACATTTTGAAACTTAATACATACAAATAAACTTAAGAATCGAATTATTTATTAAGGTACCTAATGTATTTACCAGAAAATAGAAATGTTTTTACTGCTAAAATATATCATGTTAAGTATCACATAATAAAATATTGTATTTCGTTATTTTATACACCAGTGTATTATAAATATCTATCAAATATTGTGTAATAACAAAAAGTGTAAAAAGAATTACTTAATATAAATTAAAAACATGTGAGCAAATAGCAAATAAATAAAATATCCATTAAAAACTAACAACATTTTATTTGTGTTGAATATAAAATAATAAGAAAGTAACTAATTATGTAGATTATATATTTAATATATATATATATATATATATATTTTTTTTTAAATTAAATTTAATTTAATTTCGTAGATCAATATAGGTATAAAAGCTATATATATATAAGGCTACAATGAATAGTACCTACAGATATGGTACCAATAATGATGACTTAAACTAAATTGTATAATTCCGTTAGATGTAAACATTTTGTGAGCAGAATGATGGCTTCTGGAATAGGTGTAATAAATTCACAGAGGTTATATGGGATATTGAGATCATCTTGAAATCCTTGGTATTCGCGACATTCGGTGAAAATATACTTGATTGTATCTACTGTGGCGTATAAGTCACTTAGATATTGATCTTGTTCAGCCATCGGGTACTTAAATGTATTGGTGGCATTATTATTATCTCTGCATGGTAACTTCGTATACCATTATAAATCATAAAAAAAATTAGATCATATATATCGCTATCATCGCGCTGATGTTGCTACATTTAAAGTAATAAAACTAATGTCATATGTGTTTTAAAGTTTAATACAGGCACACACGGAATAGTTAGCTGTAGGCATTTATGTTCAATTGATAAGGATACGATATTTTTAAATACTATTCTGTCGTTGTCAATGTATTTCTAAATTATAAGTAATAGACTAATGTGAAATAATCTTATTAATATTGATAAAACTAACCTTTATATGTCAAGTTAATTGTTTCGGCGCATCCGAGTTGGGTCTCGAGTACTAGGGTTAGATCGTAGGTACTACACTAGTTGGGTCCGGGATTATTTTAAGTAAATATACAGTCCAAACGAAAAAAAAAATTGTCATTTACATTGATTATAATCAATATATTTTTAGTTATTAATTTTTTGGTATTTTAAATATTATTTCTTTGTTTACCTATATGTAATTGTCATTTATCTACTATTAAAAAAAAAAATTTTAATAATTTATATTTTTTATGGAAAAAATATAAAAAAAATAAACTGTAAAAAAACATTTTTAACCATACCTTTGGTCTAAATAGATCATAGACAGTCCTAAATATGTTAAAATGGGAAAGAAAATGATATTATGAAGTACTTACCAAAAAAAAAAAAAAAAATTAAGGACCCAACTAGTATAGCAATTTTTAATTCGGGATCCAACTTGGATGCAGTCAATTATTTATCTAAGGTGGTAGATAAACTTAAAACTATTTTCTTGAACGATGTTTATATCGTATTTAATGTATATATTATATAAGTATAATTTAATGTAATAACATCAAATATTAAAGTATCTAATATTATTACAGAAATTTTATGGATGGTGGTCGCTCGATATCGAGTTCTTTTTAATACCATCTCTAATCTCCATCTCCACTCCCCTAGCCAACCAAACGAAAAAATACGATGACAGAGTTGGTCGTTATTACGATTACCATTTGGACGGGTCACTGTAGTATTCGTTGCATAATAAATAATGTGTCTAATTATAATATTATATAATTTTACACATCCAGCCGCCAAAAGAGGAATATAAAACGTTTACACTAATACTACTGTTACCCCTTCACTGCGCGACTGGTTATTATTATTAACTATTTTTTTTTCATTGATCGTGTGTGTTTATTGGACGAAACCGTCTGTGCAAGGGCGGAGTAACCAGCACTGGGGACTGTAATAATACCGCCACGGGAAATAAAAAAGGGTAACAAACAGCCGTGGTGGGACGTAGAGATAAGCGATAACAATACGAATCGTTTAATCGTCTGTCATATCCGGTTCTAAACATTGACGATAATATAATATTGTACGAGTGAGTAGTTTATAGAATAGGTGGATGACAATAATTATTATATTGAGCTTCAAGCGGTATTCCCATAAAAATAAATGACGAGCTTCAGTCTAAATAGTGTAAATAAAAAAAAAAAATTAATTGAAAGACGTATCCGATATGTATACTAATAATTTTTTATCAACAAGCTAAAAAATCAAAACCGTTAATTGAACGACGCTGTGAATTCGTTCAACTAATTAAATTCAAGCACAATTTTATATATTTCTACATTATAAAATGAATTCGAATATAAACACGAAACCATAAATGTATAATGAACATTTTAGTTTTTATTTTTTTATTTTTATTTTTTTTTTTGGTTGGACACTTCAATTATTTCTATAATATTATATTTTTTAATTAAAATAATTTAATAGCTTTATAATAAAAATATAAATAATATAATTTATAGAAAAAATAATATTTTGATGTTCTTTAATTATTATTACAACTTGGATAATAGAATAAAGATATTTACTAAGATGTATGATTTGACAAAATAATATTTATACTACTACCTATAATTAATTTATAAACGCATTGAGAACCTCTTAATACGTTTCTATATTAGATTATTATATTGACAAATGAAGAACATTAGCATAAAAAATAACAAAAAAAAATAAAAATAAAAAAAAATAACAGACGAGTAGATATAGGAACTTAATAAATTCCGTTTGATAAAATGATTAATATGAATATATGATATCGTTTCCTCGATAAATGTTGGTTTTATAATTTTTTTTTTTTTTTTTAACACTTTGTTTACACGAGTGACGTGTCGGAGGGATATAATACTTTCCATAATGAAAAAGCAACATTATTTTCTGGGCTTATAGAGCATTGTATGGCAGATGAGAAAATTATGTTTGGACAACAATAACAAACGGCCGAGGTTTATCATGTTTATGTATGTTTATTAAATTGTGTACGAGGTGAGAACATGACCCATGCGTGTGCAAATGGTTAGAGCATTACGGATTTGGGTAAAAAAGAATTCAATGATAATATTATATGTATTCGAATAACGTATACGAATCACTGTTTCGTCGATCGAAAAGAAAAATTTTCACAGGGTTATCGAATTGCGGATAGAACATTTTATATTGATGCCGAGAAAAACGGATGATGCCGTCATATATAAGAATAGAAAATGCAAAAATAATCGAAATACGATGTGAAAATATGTCTTGTGCAGTATTGTAGGTGGCGGA